TCCACCTATTTCTCTCCTCCCATCTCTGCCTCTCCATCCTCACTCTTCTTTTCCCCTCTCTAGCAAGCCCTCTTCCCTTTCTCATTATGCCCTTCCTTCCTTTTCCTTCTCCTCAATCCCTCCTCTTTTTCTGCTCCTTTCTCTCTTGAAACCAAGGAGTCAACCAGGGACTGATAGCTATATCTTCAATCATTTTTACATTTTGAAAAGATTTTATGTTTTTAATTATGTGCATGCATGTGTTTGGGGTACAGCCTTTATGCTGATCCTTTGGCCCTAGGACCAAAGCCATTTTATCATGCAATATGAACACCTAGTAAAAACTCATGATGGGGAAAGGATAGAAGCACCATCACTTGAGCAATATTGTCAAATAAGCAACACAAATTTTAGTGAACATTTATTTTTTTGAACATTTAATATTTTTATATCTGATCAGAACAATAAGCAACCTGAAATATTAAGCCCTCTTGTACCTGGATAATTTTCAAGAACATCAAATACACAATGAAATCAGCAAAGGTAGAAATGTTTACTGTTCTAGGTCATAACAGAGTGGTCTGCAGACCCTCACAGGGCTTTGAAGCAATATGCAACAGAAGCCATTTTGTAATTGCTTGCACCAAACAGAGAAGTGGAATTCTCTGCAAGGTAATTAAGGAAACTGTGCATATAGCTGGACACTGACATAAGACTGTGCATATTAAGTGACGAATGGGCCAAAGCAGTCCCAATGTTCACAAATAATCGCAAGAGGTGTGGAGCTCCGTAAATCTGAGACATCGGAATATCTGGGTAAGCAAGGAGGATCTCATCATACTGGGGTTTTTCAAACTGAAAGAGCAGCTGAGTACCCAGCATCTTGTTGAAATACTCTCTAATTCCATACACAAGTTCATCAACGGAATATTCCTAATTCTCCCACCTGCTCTGTGACTTCAGGAAAGTCACATGATCTACATTCTTCTCAGCAGGGAGTTGGAACAACTGCTTCTCCTTGTTTACCAAGTCCCAGTCCTCAACAAGACATGCTTTTAGTTGTGGAGGCAACTTCACTTCAACTCCCATTCTCAGATTCTCTGCCTGCATACGCTGACCAGTGCTGACAGCAGCAGCCACATTTGGATGAGTGACCTGGGCTACTTGGCTGGGATCACTACCAATTCTGCTTTCTGGAGCATTCTTCAGGTGCTCTTGCACTGGCACCGTAAGCATGGATCCTGAAGAAGGTTTCTCTACATGAAAGCTTTGCTCCATGGAGTGATGGCCTTCCTCAAAAGAGCACCCATTCTCTCCCGTGTCACTTTCCTCTTCTAGAGAATACTTCATGTGCTCTGGCACTGGCACAGTAGGCATGAATCCTGAAGAAGTTTTCTCTACAAGAAACCATTGCTCCACAGAGTGATGACCTTCCTCCACAGAGCACCCATTCTCTCCTGTGTCACTTTCCTCTTCTAGAGAATACTTCATGTGCTCTGGCACTGGCACAGTAGGCATGAATCCTGAAGAAGTTTTCTCTACAAGAAACCATTGCTCCACAGAGTGATGACCTTCCTCCACAGAGCACCCATTCTCTCCTGTGTCACTTTCCTCTTCTAGAGAATACTTCATGTGCTCTGGCACTGGCACAGTAGGCATGAATCCTGAAGAAGTTTTCTCTACAAGAAACCATTGCTCCACAGAGTGATGACCTTCCTCCACAGAGCACCCATTCTC